CACGGGGTGCTGGGAACTGGGCACTGGGTGCTGTGGGCTGTGCTGGGGGCACTGGGCAGGGCATGGGGCACTGGGAACTGGGCACTGGGCACTGTGGGCTGTGCTGGGGGCACTGGGCAGGGCATGGGGCACTGGGAACTGGGCACTGGGAAGGGCACTGGGTGCTGGGGGCACTGGGCAGGGCACGGGGCACTGGGAACTGGGCACTGGGCACTGTGGGCTGTGCTGGGGGCACTGGGCAGGGCACGGGGCACTGGGAACTGGGCACTGGGCACTGTGGGCTGTGCTGGGGGCACTGGGCAGGGCAGGGCACGGTGGGAACTGGGCACTGGGAAGGGCGCTGGGTGCCGTGGGCTGTGCTGGGGGCACTGGGAACTGGGAAGGGCACTGGGAATTGCACTGGGCTGCATGGGCCGTGCTGGGCACTGGGCGTGGGGCACTGCGGGCTGTGCTGGCAGCTGGGCGCTGGGCTGTGCGGGATGCTGGGCAGGCTGTGAGGCACTGGGCAGTGGATGTTCTGGGCTGTCCTGGGCACCGGGCACTGGGAGGGGAACTGGGTAGGGTGGGCTGTGGTGGGCAGTGGGAAGGGCGCCGGGCAGTGGGCATGGGGAGCACTGGGGACTGGGCACTGGGAAGGGCACTGGGCACTGGGCAGGACACTGGGCAAGGGGCACTGGGCACCGGTCTCTGGTCAGAGGGCACTGGGAACTGGGAAGGGCGCTGGGCACTGGTCGATGATGGTCAGGGGGCACTGGGAACTGGGAAGGGCGCTGGGCACTGGTCGATGATGGTCAGGGGGCACTGGGAAGGGCACTGGGCACTGGGCAGGACACTGGGCAAGGGGCACTGGGCACTGGTCTCTGGTCAGAGGGCACTGGGAACTGGGAAGGGCGCTGGGCACTGGTCGATGATGGTCAGGGGGCACTGGGAAGGGCACTGGTCACTGGCCACAAGGCACCAGCCACTGGGAAAGGCACCGGGCTCTGGTCACAGGGAACTGGGCAGGGCACTAGTCATTGGGCACTGGGAACTGGGAAGGGCGCTGGGCACTGGTCGATGATGGTCAGGGGGCACTGGGAAGGGCACTGGTCACTGGCCACAAGGCACCAGCCACTGGGAAAGGCACCGGGCTCTGGTCACAGGGAACTGGGCAGGGCACTAGTCATTGGGCACTGGGAACTGGGAAGGGCGCTGGGCACTGGTCATGGACGCTGGGAAGGGCACTGGGCACTGGTCGTGGGGCACCGGGCACTGGGAAAAGCTGGTCACTGCTCACAGGGCACTGGGAAGGGCACTGGTCACTGGTCACTGGTCACTGGTCACCAGTCACTGGTCACTGGTCACGGGGCACTGGTCACTGGTCACTGGTCACGGGGCACTGGGCTCTGGGCACGGGGCACTGGTCCCCGCTGCTGGATGCCCCAGGGACCCCCGGCCCCCAGGGAGCCTGGGACGGGGGTGGGGTGCCCGGACGCCTGGGTCCCCCCGCTCATCCTCTCCACTCGGTCTCCAGTGGGGCTGCTGGGACCCCGCAGCGCAGGTACTGGCAGCGGGGGAGGGGAGGCGGGGCAGCGGACGGGGGGAGGGGCCCGGCCCAGTGGCTCACAGCGAGTCCCAGCGAGGGGGGAGCTCCCAGGGGGGGTCCCAGCATGTGCAGAGGATCCCCGTGAATCCCGATGGGTCCCAGTGTGGGCAGGGATCCCAGCAGGTCCCAAGTGGGTCTCAGCGGGTCCCAGTGTGGGCAAAGGAGCCCAGTGGGTCCCAGTTTGTGCAAAGTATCCCAGCAGGTCCCAGTGTGGGCAGGGGTCCCAGCGTGGGCA